TTCTTTACAAGTCGAAGCCCCAGTGGCTGCTCTCTCTCTCTCTCTCTCTCTCTCTCTCTCTCTCTCTCTCTCTCTCTCTCTCTCTCTCTCTCTCTCTCTCTCTCTCTCTCTCGCGCGCGCGTGCTCTCTGCCGCTCTCTCTATCACTCTCTCTCTGTCTGTATCAGTCTGTCTATCTGTCTCCTCACCTTACCTTACCTTTACCTTTACCTTTACCTTTTATGGTTTTACCTCACCTTTTACCTTACCTAACCGTTTACCTTACCTTACCCTACCCTACCTTGCCTTTCACCTTACCTTACCTCTCACCTCACCTTACCTCTTACCTTACCTTACCTCTTACCGTACCTTACCTTACCTTACCTTTGACCTTACCTTACCTTACCTTATTGGACCTTCCTACCTATCTATCTGTCTATCTATGTGTGTGTGTGTGTGTTTTGTCATATTCGCTGTCCAAAAATCCACACACAAAAAAAAACATGACTGTGCCAGACTGTTTCATTGGACTTTTACCAACTCCTCAGGAGGTTGCATCTGTCTTGCACATGTGCCGGATGACGCTCTTTCATCACACTGTACCACACGAGCTAAATTTTGTTAGAGTCGCATGACCGACCTACATTCCCCTGTATCACTTGGGCCTGACGGGCCTCATTAGATACAGCCCTCTTCCTTTCATTGGGTTGTAGTGGAAGTAGATAGGTACATACAACTAGAAAGGACCTTATATTATACGGCTGCGCCTTCCGTAGGGGCATGTGGCAGTGGTGGTTAAGAAAGACCTGGTCCTGGCCTAGGCAGGCATGAATGGTCATCAGAGATACCAGGTTCTAGCCTGTACCCAGGACCCCAAGTATGAATCAGGCCTGACAAGAGACCAGATTAATGCTGGCTTTGCACAAGCATAGCACCACGCACAGTAAAAGGGCCCTTGTCAATACTGCACAGATGGTGTAGCATGCCTAGAGCGTCCTACATGGGCCCTTGGGCCCAACATTGTATCTAGGGGGGCTTATCTCGATTTGAGGCAGGCAGGCAAGTCTTTGGTACGCACGGAGTCCAGGTAGGTATGTCCGCCCCTAGCCCCAGCACGTTTGCTTTTGATCCAGCTGGGTTTGCGGGCTATTTCGTCAGTTCTGACACCAGCATGTATCTCCCTTGCCTACCCTCAGACCAGTTTGCTTCACTTTGTTTTCAGGCACGCATGCGTTTTGTCGGATCCGAGCCAAAACATGCGTTGTTGTCTGTTCTCGGCTCAGTTTGCTTTCCTTTCGGCCAGGCGTGTGTGCATTTTGTCTGTCTGAGTCCATGCGTTGGGCATGTTGTCTGTTTTCAGCCCAGTCACACGTTCCTGGCGCAGCTTGTTTTTGAGGCTGGGCCTGGAGTCGGGCCGTTTCTTTCTTCCAGGCCTTGGTGCTTATGCAGCATGGTAGGGCGCGGACCAGCGTGGAGTCCCAGGCCACACGTTTTGGGCCTCAGGCCTGAGTTCTTTTGACTGCTCGGCCTCCCATCGGGACCACCGATTCACTTTCAGATCATACGGCCCAGATGGAGGCTGACTTGAGTGTGAGGCCGCCCCAGCACTATTTAGGAGAGGCTGGCCCAGTAGTTGGGGAGAGGTTCTCACTTCATTCGTGTGCCACCATTCTGCCCGCTGGAGCAGTCCAGCGCTGGTGGAGGTAGAGGAGCAGCGTTAGAGGAGCCAGAGGAGTTTGGTAGGAGGTAGAGAGGTCGGGCGGAGGAGTTCACTCACCTGGCACCATATCCAGGGAGGTTCGCCACCAGCCATAGCTGGTCTTCTTCTTCTTCTACTTCTTCTTCTTCTTCGGGATTCCTGCAGTGCACCAGCCATAGCTGGTTGTCATCTTCTTCGAGGTAACTGTGGTGCTTCGGCGGCTCAAGGCTCTGCCTTTCACCGGTCCGTATTATCATCATCATCATCATCAGAGACAGTGACAGATACACAGAGAGAGAGAGAGAGAGAGAGAGGTTTCCACATTCTTCTTTGTATCCTCCGTCTCTTCTTCTTCCTCCTCTTGAGAAAGAGATGAGAGAGAGAGCCCAGCAACTTGACAATGACATCACTGGAGCTCAGCTCCCAGAGTCGAGATCTGACGTTCATTATTGGAGTTTGTTGGAGGTTGAGCTGGAGTGAGAGGTGGAGGAGAGACTATTATTACTTGGCACTGCCATTCGTTGGGTCATCTTCTTCTTCTTCTTCTACTTCTTCTTCTTCTTCTTCTTCTTCTTCTTCTTCTACTACTACTACTACTACTACTACTACTACTACTACTACTACTACTACTTCGAATTCTAATTATTTATTCTTCTTTCCATTGTCCTCCACCTTTGTCCATGTATGATTTCAGCGGGGGGTTTCTTCGCTAGATGTTTGACCCCTCCCCGCTAGATGTTTGACCCCTCCCGCTAGATGTTTGACCCCTCCCCACTAGATGTTTGACCCCTCCCTGCTAGATGTTTGACCCCTCCCCACTAGATGTTTGACCCCTCCCCGCTAGATGTGAGATCCGATCTGAGCCACATTGTCATTTGCTGCATTGTTTGTTAGACATATCTGATTTGATTCTTCTGCTGCGTCACATTAGATCTCTTCCTCAGGTTGGTGATCCTTTGGACTTGCATTGCACATGGTTCACTCCGGGCATGCAACCAGATGGACATCATGCACGAAAAGAGAGTGACCCATAATAGTGCGTGCAAAGTCTGAGAACATACACTAGGACTTTTTCTACTAAGTTCTGGACGTGATTGCAGTCGCATTCATCCAGATTTGGCCACAATTGCAGTCAGATACATTTAGGAAAGTGCTAGGGTGAGTATGCCCTGATAGACTGTGAAGAGTCTGAAGTGAACACCTGCAAAAAAGTATTATTCTTTGTCTGTTGCCTTTTGTGCAGTGGTTTGTACATTTCTCGTCTTTTTCTTTTCTTTTTCTTCTTTTTACGGTGGCTCTCAAACAATTATGGACGATCAGTCACATCTGGGATGAGGACAGAAAGGACTCGATTGACGAGGAAGAAGAGAAACCTGCAATATAGTATCCCGGATGGATGGAAAGACTTGCTCAAAGCGAGCTTCTTTTGGAAGCCAGGCGAGTGCAGATTACTGACACAGGAGACGGTGCCTGCAAGGGCATATCAATTCTCCCACCGACCTCCCGGATCAGACCCGTTTCGGGGGTCTTCACCTCATTCCCGATAGACCTGACAAAGCCCAAATCTCTCTCCATCTACAACACAAACCCACAACAGTCAGTCCTGAACTCGTTCGCGCTTCGAAAAAATAATAGTACGCAGTTGGGCAGAAACAATCTTCCAAATTGAATCAGCAATCCAGGAAGTAGAGTTTGATCCAGACGAGACGAGTTGGCATGGTCCTCCAGTAACAACAGATTTTGCAAAACTCCAATTCACATCACACAATACACAGTCAAAATGGGCTACAGAATGCAAAGCTAGGTGGAACAAAATACCGGGCCATGAAGGAGAACAAATATTTAAAAAATGGGCGTGGTCCTCCGGTACAAGGCGAAGGATCCAGATCCGGTGATCAAAGTTAGGTGGAACAAAATACTGTGCCCGGAAGCAGAACAAATATAAAAAATTCCTTGGCAGAAATATAAATCAATACGCCCGGTCAAAATATGAAGCCTGCAGTGGCTCATTGCCTGCAATGCGCTACCCGCGAACAGTTGGCTACATATCAGAAGGAGAAGAAAAAGAAAAAAACACGACGCTAACAGCTCAGATCTCTGTGTAGTGTGCTCAGACAATGAACAGGAAAAAGAACATCAGACACTGCCTGATCACATGCAAGGTCGCTGCTGACTACCGGGCAAGAGCATCTGCGCTCTGGAACCACCTGTTTTTTCCCCTCTTCCTTTCCCGAACGGCGAACACCCAATCCAATCCAACTGCTCCTCTGGACCATCGTTTTTACTAACTGTAACAAGTCAGAGCGCATCTGGCTTGGCGTGATTTGAAAGGTAACACGCTGGGTCGTATGGAAGGAACGGTGCAGCAGAACATTCGACAACTCCAGCAGTTTGTTTTAAAAGGTGTGGCAGCAGTTCGCGTGAAAAGGTGTGGGCAACGACCAAATCCGTAATGGAGACTGAAGTCTTCTCCCAATGGAAGAAAGCCAGGATTCAATTGCAGGGGGAATCGGGAGAAGCAGCAAGAGATTCTGGCAAAGTTCACGAAAGTATGGCTGGTCAACGGAAAGGTTGCGAGCATTCATGGACTTCATCCCAGATGGAAAGACCGGCACAACTCCTGCCCGCTGCAGAGAGTACAGGGCAATCACCTCCCATCACCTCCCACAGCCTCAAGACTTTGGAGCCACATAGTTCGGACATATGACCATGGGCACACTTACAAACAAGCTGGTCATGACACTTGAGACGTACCGCAGTTCTTCTATTGGTGCTTCTTGCGTTTAAGTCTATCTGACAGGGTTCCTGATGAAGACTCTGAGAGGAATCACAGGGAAAGGCAAGCTGACAGTCAATCCTCCACCAAGTGGAGTAATCAATGGTGAGAAGGGATCCATCGGCCAGACGGAAGGATGCATGAGTGGGTACATGATGTAATACTGCTACTTTGACTTGCCGGGGGAATAGGACCGGACCGATGCTCCCCAGAATGGATATGGACTATTATGTAGCCAGGAACATAAGGACCTGTTTTATTAAAAAAAAAACAGTGCTGCACCCGCCGACCGTCGGCGCCCCTGTTTTTTGTTGGTCCAGAACTTGCGCCTTTTTTCTAGCCTTATTTTTTTTTACTTGTACCTTTTTTCCTTTTAGTAAACAAGGGCAACAGGCTTGAGATATCGTTGGGAAACGGGGCGGGCCCAAGTGATTCAGAACTACATTTCATTCATCTAGTTCCATCTGGATTCGAACTCTCGAGTTTATATTTCAACAGGTCATGGGTGTATGAGCTGAGCTAGGCCCATTGGTTAGACTACTTGTACCTTTTCACTATACACAACAAGCCTTCTCTTTTCGTGAATAGCAAAGGTGCCAATGCCATAGCCTTCTCCCCAGAGAAACCACCGATCCTGCAAAACATAGTGCATGGAAGAGAAGCTAAGATCAGTGGATTTAAAAAGAACAAGTCGAACGGCCACAGCTACGCTTGCAGTGCATGGCACAGGTGGGAGCCACGAGTGAGAGAGGTTCTGTTGGAATGGTCACACAGATTCATGTGTTTTGAGTCATCACGAGTGTGTCTGTTGCATGCCAATATCAAGCAGACGAGAACCAAGAACCGACCTCTCACAGATATAGTAAGGATAGCACAGCGGAAGACTGAAATACCAATAATCAGACCTAATCAATGTCGTGACACAGACTGAACATCATCATCATCATCATCATCATCATCATACGGTCTGAGGGTGACCTGGCGCTATAGCACACAGACGAAGCGCCAGGCACCAACATACATGGATGAAGAGGAGGGAGGAGAGACGAAGGGGGGGGAGAAAAGGAGAGATGTCGCCAACCCAAAATGTCGTCGATACCGATCCCAAAATAATCCCCCACAATGTCGCTGCTCAGATGTCGAGTCTGAATCTCAATGTCGCAAATCTCTCTCTCTCTCTCTCTCTCTCTCTCTCTCTCTCTCTCTCTCTCTCTCTCTCTCTCTC